CGGGGGGGTGTGTGGGTCTGGGGCACAGCAGTGGGGGTCACCAAGTGGGGTGCGTGGGTCCAGGTCACGGCAATGGAGCTCCCTGAGCAGGGGTTGTGGGTCCAGGGCATGGCAGGAGGGGTCTGCAATGGGGTGTGTGGGTCTGGGGCACAGCAATGGGCTCCCCAAGGTGGGTGTGTGGGGCCAGGGCATTGCAGTGGGGGGTCTCTGAGCAGGGTACGTGGGTCCAGGACATGGTAATGGGGGTCTCCGAGTGAGGTGCGTGGGTCCGGGGCACAGCGATGGGGCTGCCCACAGGTACATGTGTGGGTCCCATGGGTGTCAGCCCATGGGTGTCAGCTGCTGTTGCCCACCCCGTCTGGGGGTGCCCCTGGGGGGTCAGCTCTGGGTGCTGCTGGAGGGTCCCAGGGTTAAAGCCCAGGCTGAGCATGTTGCTGCCCAGTCTCCATTCCGGGGGGTGACTGGTGTGACTGGGAGGTCGTTTGTGCTGGGAGGGTGCGTGATACCCTTTAAACCCCCTTGGCTTGTCTCGGGGACCCCGGTGACTCCCCATCGTGGGCTGAGGGCAGGTGGGGGGACACCCCCGTGGGTCCCAACAGCCTTGTGGGACCCTCGCTGTGGACTGTGTGGAAAAGGAGTGTGACTGAGCATCCCACTGTCTGCTCCTCAGCCCCACGGTCCCCTGGTGAGCACAGTAAGAAATATGTTTTGAAGAGAGCCTGGGTGTGTGTGTGTGTGTGTGTTATTCTTTTCCTGATGATGCTAAATTTAAACTCTCAATCTTCTTATCTCCTGCGGACGCGGTGCCATCTAATCTCCTGCTCTTATCCCCTGCAGAGCTGCTGGAGGTGCTGTTGCTGTTCTGCTCGGCCTTCATGGACACGAGCAAGACACGGTGGTTTAGTGCCATCAGATAGAAGACATGATGCAATTCCCCGTTCCCAGAAGATGATGTGGACCAAACACAAAGAAGCAGGAAGAAAGGAAAAAAAAAAAAAAAAGAGGAAAAAAAAAGAAAAGGATGAATACCCTGTTAAAATGTTTACTATCAGAAACGTCCTGACCTCACTGGTTAATCCGCCTCCCGCAAGCACGGAGCAGCCAGCCCAGGCCCCACCTTGTGGAAGCTGCAGAGCAAAATATGAAATCCTTTAGTGCAACCAGATTTCGGTTTTGGGCATAGATGAGGTGCCTTGGTCCCCTCTGAAAAATTACTGGTCCCGTTACCCTCACACTCAGAGCACAAGAGCAGCAGCCGGGGAGCGGGGTGGTTACGCTGCCGAAGGTGATTCCTTTCCTCTTTCCTTGGAGGCAATCTCAGTGTCTGCTTGACTTTCCCCGTGTGTCTCTGCTGTAAAACACGGCTGTAGTGTAGAAACATGGAATCACTTGCACTGGTTTCCTAAAATAATCGGGAAAGGATCCGAGGATGTGCTGGAAATGGCACGTAGGCTGGAGGGGGAACAGCCAACAGCTGCTGGTGGGGCCTGAGCTCTGCTGTGACACCAGCCCTGACGCCTCCTGCGCTGGGGACCCCGGCTCCGGCTGGAGACAGATGTCCATGATGTCCATGGAGCTGCTGGGAGCAGAGCTGGGGCAGGCTGGTGCACGCTTGGTCTAATCCAGAAGGTGGCAATGGCAATCCATAGACACTGGCCGGCTTGGAAATGGGGATTTCTTGGCGCTACGGCCCTTGTATTTAGGGGATGTTTTCAGCTGGCTGCTCTGAAGGGGCAGCGTGGTGGTGGCTTCTTGGCACGTGCTGAGCGGGCAGCCAGCCCTGAGCAACACCAAACGTTACAGAAAATACACTTGGCTGCAAAATGGGGTATGTTCCCAGGTATGTTTTGGTTGATTTGTAAAGTACAGTCTCCTTGCAGATGTTTGTGCATTTAAGTTTCCTCCCTTCCTCCCTTCCTCCCTTCCTCCCTTCCTTCCTTCCTTCCTTCCTTCCTTCCTTCCTTCCTTCTCTCTTTCTTTCTCTCTGTCTCTCTTCCTTTAATGACTACTTTTCCCTGTTCCATGCTGGCCTGTGATGTTCCCAGCACCTCTCTTAGGTTCCCCACCAGCCCCTGCTTCACCCACCACGTGCCCCCTCGCACCCCTCCGCAACGGGACCCCGGCTGCGCTGGCTCCTGCCCGTTTCCCTGTGCCCAGGTACTGAGACATTTGGGGATGAAAAAGCATCATTTTCCTTCTGGTTAGTATTTTTCAGTCACTTCTCAGGCTTCTCTCGTGCAAGAAAGCAATAAAAGCACATACAGCCCAGGCTGCCAGCGGAGAGGAGAAGCTCCACGCTCAGTCCCCAGCAGAGGGTAGTGTCAGCCTCTGTGAGAGGGTCAGCAGCCTCAGCCCTGCCTGGCTGTCCCTCTGTCCTTCCCTGGCTGTCCCTCTGTCCTCCCTGGCTGTCTGTCCTTCCCTGGCTGTCTGTCCTTCCTGGTTATCCCTCTGTCCTTCCCTGGCTGGCCCTCTGTCCTTCCCTGGCTGTCTGTCCTCCCTGGTTATCCCTCTGTCCTCCCTGGCTGTCCCTCTGTCCTTCCCTGGCTGTCATTCCCAAGGGGCAGGAAAGGGGAGCACCAGCTCTTAGTGCTCCCTGGTTATCCCTCTGTCCTCCCTGGCTGTCCCTCTGTCCTCCCTGGCTGTCATTCCCAGCAGTGCCAAGGGGCAGGAAAGGGGATCACCAGCTCTTAGCACAGAATTCAACCTCTTTTATTTCTGCACGCTCCCTTTTACCTTCAGGTACATCCTGAAAGCAGCCTCTGCGT